CCGCCAGATCGGCGCAGTGACACACCGACTGATCGACACACTTTGAGATCGGTGCAGTGACACACAGACACACACTGCAAGCGAGGTGGGTGTACACTGACACACGCTGGCACTGTGAGATAGTGACACACAGACACACAGACACAGACTGACACACACTGACACACGCTGGCACTGTGAGATAGTGACACACAGACACACAGACACACAGACACACAGACACACACTGACACACGCTGACAGTTAGATAGTGACACAGTGACACACAGACACACACTGACACACGCTGGCACTGTGAGATAGTGACACACAGACACACACTGTAAGCGAGGTGGGTGCACAGAGGCGTCGCACTCTGCCTTTGAAGCCCGGAGTGAAACAATTGCTGGACAGGAAACAACTCCTTTCCTGCACCAAACAGCCGGGACAGCCCTCTTTGCCACTTCCCCGTGTGAGCGCGTGTGTGTGAGCGCGTGTGTGTGAGCGCGTGTGTGTGAGCGCGTGTGTGTGAGCGCGTGTGTGTGAGCGCGTGTGTGTGAGCGCGTGTGTGTGAGCGCGTGTGTGTGAGCGCGTGTGTGTGAGCGCGTGTGTGTGAGCGCGTGTGTGTGAGCGCGTGTGTGTGAGCGCGTGTGTGTGAGCGCGTGTGTGTGAGCACGTGTGTGTGAGCACGTGTGTGTGAGCGCGTGTGTGTGTGAGCGTAAAGTGGAGGAACCTACGGAGGAAGAGAGAAAGGTTGGTGCTGGGGTGCCTGTCTGTGGAGTTTGTATGTTCTCCCCCCTTCTGCAAGGGTTTCTCTGCTTTCTTCCCATCGCAAAAAAAAACCCTCATACAATGTAACTGGTATTGGCCAAACGACATCTTAATGCTAACAACAAAATAACTAAAATTTTACATCATTCTTGATTACACAAATCAGCACTGGACACCACCCCCACTATAACAATTTGGCAGGACCATCCTGAAGAATCGTCTTGAGACTCAATGAGGCTGTCCAGGGAAAACCAAACATGGTAATGCGAATATATGGGGCTAACACTCAGAGCTCAACAGAAACATCGTGGCGACGTCCTGCGCTTCCTCCTCAACCTCTTTGTGACTTCAAAAGCCGATCAGGTTTGGGAGTCTCACAAATCTACATGTGCTCTTTGGTTCTTTTGGTAAAGTCACGTGCGTGAAAATAAAAAATTATAAAAATAAAATAACTACATTTAATTATGTTCCGGAAGCAACACAAGCCTCTGTCAACAGGTAGGACAGCCACAGCAAGAAAATAATTTTCTGGAGTGGACGCTGTGACGGAGACTTGTGTTGCTTCCGAAACGTCATGATTTAATTTAGTTTTTCATTATTATTATTATTATTTTCACCTACGTGACTTTACCGAAAGAACTAAAGAGTATGGATCCTTGCAGTGACGAAAACTTCAAATCTAGAAATCTACATGTGATCCACCAAGCCTTACCTCCAAAGCATTGGACCACGGGGGCGTGTGACGGTGCCATGTTGTGAGAGGCACAGATAAACGGCAGCGTAGAACCGAGTCGGAGATACTGAACCAGCGCCGCTGAGATTGTGTTCCAGCCCTTGCTCCGAGTGTCTCTTCCTCTCTGAGGGTTCACAATGAGATCTTGAGCTCAAGCCCCAGGGTCTGGTCTCTCTCTCACACACACACGGAGGTGTTTCATCGTGGCTATGTCAAAATCACTTGTGGAGCACCGCTGAGAATCTGGGCGCAAGCCCTGGGTCTGGGTGAGCCCAAAGGTAGAATGCATGCATATCATCTGGATCAATCCCTACACATGCAATGTCATTACATTTCCAGTTGATCATCAATTATCCGAGTATGAGAATAGGTTTTCCCCTTTTTTTCTGGCAACAAAACACGTGTTAAGATGTTAAAACACCAAACTGAAACCTTTAACAAAAAATCATGTCTGAATTAATCACAATACTTGTGGTCAGAATGCAAACAAAAAACATAATCTGATAATGTATGCATTGTCCTTGAAACTGATTGGTCCACACCAGAGACAGCTTTCTTGAGCCTAGTCTCAAACGGTGTTAGACCAGAGGACGCCAAAGGCGTACAGCGTCCTTGAGACTAGGCTCAAAAGAAAGCTGTCTCTGGTGTGGACCAATCAGTTTCAAGGACAATGCATATATTATCAGAGTATGTTTTTTGTTTGCATTCTGACGACAAGCATTGTGGTTAATTCAGACATGATTCCTTGTAAAAGGTTTCAGTTTGGTATTAACTTCATAAATTGAAATTACTGGCGAAACGTCGTACTCAGATTGTAAATGTTGTGGCTTGGCTCTCCAACACACCGGTATGCTGTACTAGTATACTACACTATACACTACACTATACACGAGTGCTGTACTAGTGACGAATTGGCACGTTCTGTTTACGTAACAACCCTTACTAGTTGGCTGTGTCGGGTGGTGGCGGGTTTTAACGACACATTTATATGTTTACGCGCTCTAACCCAAAACCTCTATTAAGGATATTGGTCGCGAAAGCCTACTGCGTGTTAAACAGATACCGTAGTGATTATCCGCCGTTTTTTAAACCCGGCGCCCCCTCTCCTCCCTCGAAGCCGCCGGATAATCGATTATCTACTGTATCACAAGTCCAGTGAACACAAGACACTTACATATTGCTTCCCCACTGCTATAAAAATGTACAAATGTGATGAACACAATGCCCCATGCATCACATCACCGAGTCGTACAAACACAAACGATGTACAATCACACAGAGGGGTTATTTATTTCACATCACAAATATACAGAGGCACCTACATACACGTACGGTATACTCGAGGTTATCCGCGCTAATGACGGGCAGGACGGCCCGCGCATCATTCAAAATCGCCGATAATCCAAAAATAAACATTTTCCGCGGATCTCTTTGCAAAAAACCACGAATGTGGGTAAACTGAAGACAATACTCTTTCGATTGAGAACGAAGGCAAACGATCGACCGAACGATGAGCTTGCTCAGTGATAATAACTCCTTCCTGCTCCCACGCAGAAGACTCGGCCCACTGAGTGGATGATAGCAGAGCCACGCCAATCAGCAACATCAAACTGTTGTAAAGATATGCAACTACTGTGGAGGCGATCACGTGGATTTCAGATTAGCCGGAGCAACGTCGTTGTTCGGTTTAAGCACGTGACTTGTAATACAGATTTACAATAACAATGTACAACTGTTTTTAGATTGGGCCTAAGGGTACATCCATGAGTTATACATTTTTGTCAAAATCTCAGGTACGCGGTTAATTTGCAAATCGGATTAACCGCATTCGGATAATCGAGAGTCTACTCTATCATAATTACCCCTGTCATAGGAATGTGGAATTTCCATCAAAGGCTCATGGCCATGAATGGACAGGAGCAACGCCCCTCACCCAATTACACTCATATTTTTTGTCTCTCCCCCATCAATTTCATCGCGATTTGTGCTATGGGCGCCACGTCATTCAGAACCCGTGCAGAGCAGAGAACGGCCTACGGAAGCGGATATCACAGAACTACCTCCAAAATTCCTTCAAGTGACCGTTGGCAGAATTTCCCCAGCCACGCTGTCACAGTGTTTGTCGCACGGCAGTCAAACTGAAATGTTTATTTTCCAGAGCTGGAATACCGGCAAAGTTCTTATAGAAACACATTGAATACCATGGGGTTTATTGTGCACTCACCAGTGACCGGGCTAGGACGATCAACGCACTGCACATGAGAACCCAGCTTAATGACAAGCAGCTGAAACCTGGATTGGAACTCATCTCAGTATTGCAAGCGTAGATTATTTGCTCTGCCTCGTGTACCACCCATTGAATACAATCCCCTCGCGCCCCGCTCCCGCGTGTCCCACTCCTGTGTTCCACCCGCTCGTGTCCCCCTCCTCGTGTCTCACCCGCTCGTGTCCCACTCCCTCACGTCCTCCTCCTACCCGTATCAACACTGCCAGCGTGCAGCGCCGCGTCCGATCGTGGCCGCGAGCCGCGTGGCGACGGCGTCCGTTGCCGCGCGCGCCATCGCCGCCTTCTTCCTGCCGAGTCTCAGCCGCTCGGCCGATTCCTCCGCGGCGCCCCGTCCCGCGGCGCCCCGACGTCGCTCCGTCTCCCGGGCGAATGCCCCCCGCTCGGACTCCAGATCACGTGCGACATCTTCGCCGCCGCCGCCGGCCCCGCCTGCGAAAGACGGTTTAAATTATGACGCGAGACACCAGACGCGGTGGGATGAGTCCGGAGTGGATTGTTCACAAAGTCATCCGGGACGCACGAGCATTAAGAGCGATTGTTACCTTTGGGCTGAAGGGATAACAGAGATTAAACAAATGAGACGGGACAGACAAGATGGAACTGGAGAATAGGAACGAGTACGGGCATGATGAGAATTTTTTTCAAATAAGACGAAACAAAACAAACGAGGCATAAAAACGGGTTAGGAAAAACCATGCACACGCATTGCTTATTCAACACGTTTCTCTCATTAGCAGGCAACAGAGAGCTGCAGGGGCACAACACATTGGCGTATTTGTAAGGAGTTTTAAGTCTCCAAGCACACGGGTGAGAACACAAGAGAGAGGCTCCCTCAATGGACTGGCCTAGGGGGGCTTGTTTGTATCACCTCGTGGTTCTGGCGGGAGGCAGGGGCCCAGAATGAGGCGTCCGTGAGCCAGGGAGGCGGTGATTTCCACGTCGAGGCAGCGCGAGAGCGAGAGGCCGAGACCCGGGCACGGATCCGGAGACGAGAGGATGGCTCCGCATGGCAGCGAGGACCTCACCGCAGCCATCAACGCGCACAGAGACGCGGACGAGCTGACGGTGCGGGCGTGGAGAGGTGGGGGCGGCAGAGGGAAGTGGTGAGGGGTGTGAAGGTTGGTTCAGGGGGCGGGTGGGTGCAGTGTCCACACTCGTGCCCCACAGAAACAAGGGCCTGGGTTCTATTGCGGACTTGGGTGCCTTTCTGTTCTGCAGAGGTTTTCTATGGTTTGCTCTCATTGCTAAAAAATGTAAATGTTTTAACTGGTATTGGCCAGCATCCCAATTCTGAAAAAATACCCGCAAATCACTCTATTGGCATGACACTGAGCTATAGAGCTCTTTATTAGAAGCGACCTGGCCACAAATGATAGCTCAACGAAGTGGCTTATCAGCATGTGGAAATTTAAAGCAGCCAAATACTCGAAACGCACGTTTCTAATTGTGGAGGGAAAAAACGCAGAACTTGGAGAAAAATCCACGCGACCACGAAGAACATGCAAACTCCAAATATATAGGTGCCATGGTCGGGATCAAACCCATGACCTCCTGTATACCAAGCGAGGCTGTTAACATCACACCACCGTGGTGCCTTAAGACAGCTCACCGAGCAATGAACTCTAAACGAGCATCGAAGGGTCCCTTCTGGGTCCACAGCACGGCCGTGTCTCTGAGCGGCCCGTGGCGCCGCTGAGAAGTCAGAATGAGCGTGGGCCGAGACGATGATGCGGAAGCTGCTGCTGCTGCCGCCGCCGCGGAGACGGACGGAGGTGTCGCAGGAATGGCGCGGCCGAGCGTGGAGACCAGGGAGGAGAGGGCGCCGGCGAGAGCAACGTCGCGAGAGTGCAGGGACAGGGAGCCCCACGGCCGGGCGGCCGACAGGGCCTGAACGTCGTGGGCGGCCTCGTCTGAACGGGACACGAGCGAGTGGGATTGCGAGCGTCAACTTTTATTTCACGGTCAAATCAACGCCACGATCGTGGAGCAAATCACGAACCTTGTTCCTTCGAGGAAGGAACGGAGCTTCACTCGGCGTCACCAGAAGCTATCTCGTGGCTCAGAACGACTCTTGAAAGGTTATCAGAACTGGTGACCAAGAGAAGGCAAGAGCATCGCACTGCTGCAGTCCCCTGAACTCTGCATGAATATAACGTTAGGAGGACGTCACTGCAGTCGTGCCTTTGCTTTACTGCTGCCATTTAGAATGCCCACGAGTTCTCAACTCTGCGAGTCAGTGGTGTAAAACACGGCCACACACTACAGTTCTTTGAGCTGTGGTCTGGACAAGGCCAAGAGCTTTCTTTTTTGCACACAATGCCGCGCAGCTTTGTGCGTGGTGAAACCAGCCCGTTATAGATGGAACGAACAAAATAATAATAATTTACATTTGTAAGCCACATTTCATCCAAAGGATCCCAATGCGCCGTGTATGAAAAGCAGGAAATAAGATAAGAGCCAGCGGAAAACGACCAAAACTATAGGGAAAAGGCCATTTTAAAGAGGTGAGTTTCAGGGCAGATTTAAATAGCTCTAGATATTCTCATTGTCAGAGGCAACGCGCTCCATAGTCTTGGCGCTGCACTGGCAAAAAGCCCGAACACCCCAGGAACGCAGCCTTGACCTCAGAATACGAAGAAAGAGATGTGAAAATCTCAAGGACCTCATTGGTGGTGTATATAAGTGGATCAGTTCCTGTAAGTAATGTGGGGCTAACCCAATGACAGCCTTGTAGATCAAGGCTGTCAATGGGTCATGTAACAATACAAGAGAGAATTGAGGAACGCACACTGCTACAGTTCCGTGGGCAGCATGGCACCAAACAGGAATCCCGAAATCGCAATGGCAACGATGCTAACGGAAGGCAGCAGAGGATGACCGGGACAGAGATGGACTGATGGATCAGAGGAGGCACTTAGAGTGAAGAGGAATGACGTGGAAACATCAGCACAGATGGGACAATGATGATGATGACAAACAGTGGAATATTGCTGACGTTTACACAGACCCAGCACCCTCTGTAACACCGCTGGATGGAAGATGAAGGCTGTTAAACCCACATGCAGGAGTATGGTTGTTCCTGCCCTGTTCTGCTTGGGTTCCCTCTGGGTTCCCGGGTTTTCTTTTAGAGGAAAAAAAACCCATCAAATGTAACTAACTGGCATTGCCCAATGCCGAAAATTTACCTGCAAATTACTCAATGGGGATGACACGTAGCAGCATTGCCACCTACTGCAAAAACTTGCCAGGACCCTTCAGAAAACGTCTTGAGATTCAGCAAGGCTTTCCTGGGTAAACAAGCGTCATCATAATAATGAAATGGTCCACCTTGCGTCAAGTCCTCTTGCTCAAAGAGCCGCGGGGCGAACTTCCCGTCGGAGACGTCGCGAGCAGCCGAGGGTCACGACGCCGCACGTCCAGGCCTTGGTGGCGTCTCCCTCGACCGACTCCCGTATCGCGCCGCTCCGACCATCATCGTCGTCGTCGTCGCCGCCTCCTCCTCCATCGGCATCGAGTGCCAGCAGCAACAAGCGACTGGCAACTTCTCCTCCTCCTCCTCGCTCACCGACGCCCGTGAACACGGGGAGCGGAGTCACAGCCACGACAGAGCCGCCGAAGCCGCTACCGCTAATGAGACGGCGAAACGTGGAGCAGATGCAATCAATTAAGTCAGCGGTGAAAGTGAGAAAAGCTGTGATTAATACATGGCCCATCAGCTGTCTGATTTACTTTAATCATTCCTGGTGAACTGCCAAATCTTATAGGCTGAGAAGAAGCATTTTTCAAAATTACCCGTGACTTCAAGGCAGCATTCGGGTTTACTTCTTAACATACATTTCACTCATGCAGTGTCAAATCTATAGCAATAATCAACTCAAAAATCTCAAAATTCTCATTCGGAGCACCAACTATACCGGTCAAGCGTAGGCTTCGCCCCGGATTCGCCGAGAGTCGGGGACTTGGCTCCTTTTAGCTGGCGGTGAGCGGAGACCAGGGGCCCCGGAAGACGGGGGCTGGATGAACGGGGGGACGACGGCGGCGTCGTCAGGAGGGTGCAGGGGGAGACAACGCGAGGAGAGGATGCAGCGTGGAGAGTGTGGAGAGGAGGATTCATCGAGGAGGAGCAGCCGGAGGTGACGGGGGCAGCTGCAGCGAGGCAGAGTGGGTGCGGCAGGGTTGGGAAACATTTTTACTGTTTTCAGCGACGTCGCTATTATCGTTGTTGTCGTTCAGCCCATCTGGATCGCTCGGGTAGGAAAACACAGAAGCCAGAAGGCAGCCACAAACCGGTACCATCCACTGCTCAGGCTATGAGGTCTACCAGTAGTGTCAGAAGCAATGACTGCTTATTTGTGAGATCCCAATTGAGTAATTTGCCCGGATTTTTCAAAATGTAGTAAGTTTGAGCGTGACGCCAGCACACAAAAATGACCCACTCTTTTAAAGACGTGGTTATTTTTTTTTTTTGGTCAATACAGCCATAGCATTAATCAGGGCGACCGTTGGATTCGAACCGTGAACCTCTGCAAGAAGCGACGAACGCACGACTGCTCGGCCACGTGACCTCCTCAAGGCTTCGTCACCGTACAGAAGCGTCAAAGCAGCTTCTGGAGGTGCGTTAGCAGTGCAGCGACCTGGCGCAACGCAGCGCAGCAAGCGGGGGACCCACCGTTCATTCGTCCACTCCAGGTCAACGCCGATGACCCAGGAATCATCAATCACGCGCTGCCAGATTTGTTCCACCCGGACGGTCAGAGCAACAGCCGGCTCCTGCAACAGCCGAACGCACACACACACAGCAGCACAACGGTATTCTTCTTGCCAGCGGTGGAACCCCAATGAGGCCTCAAAAAATGGCGTTTATTAGATATTTACCAACTATATAACGTTGAATATTTGAATTCTTATCATGAATGTATGGTCCCCTATTTAAAAAGCTTGAAATGTCAGGGACCACCAAAGCTTGCCCTCTGGGAAGATTGCAGATGATCTCAGCGTCTCAGCGGGGAGCCGTAGCGGCTTGCCGTGGCAACGGCGACGCTGAGATATGCATCGTGTGATGATCGTACCCGTCCCATTCGCTAAGGGGCATTATGGGTGTTCTAGTGCAGGCTGTTGTTGTGACAGTGCTAGGAGGTTGTAGATCTGGGTGTAGAGGCAGTGCCGGGTGTTGTAGTGGTAATGCAGGGTGGTGTAGTGGTAGTGCCAGGCGGTGTAGTGGTAGCGCTGGGTGGTGTAGTGATAGTGCCGGGTGGTGTAGTGGTAGTGCAGGGTGGTGTAGTGGTAGTGCCGGGCGGTGTAGTGGTAGCGCTGCTGGGTGTTGTAGTTATCGGGTGTTACTTGTAAAACATCTTCAAGGACACGGTCTTCGTTCCCCACTTCATCGTCAAACATCGACACCAACCCTGACTGCAAAGAAACACAAACAATCATGTCCTGCAATTACACGACCCGGTAGAGTCCTTTGGGATCACCCAGTGACTAAATCTCAGTAACCAAATGTGTTTAACAGCCCCACAGCCATTATGAACCCCCTGAGAGGGAGAAAGACACCCAGACCCAGGGCTTGAACCTCGAACCCAGGATCTCAGCAGTACCGGCTCTGTCTCTAACACGCCCATTATGAATCCAGCTCGAGGAGTTGAACCGTGAATCTGGGTTCTTAGCGGTGCCAGCTGGTTCTCGAACATATCCGTTGCAAACCAACTGAGACGGAGAGAAGCACCCTAGTCCGAGGGTTTCCACCTTAAACCCAGAATATCAGCGGTGCGGTGTGGGCTCAGTGTCTCTGACATGGCCATTATGAACCCCCAGAGAGAAAACGCTGGAGCGGCAGCAATCTCCAGGACTTGAACTCAGGTTCTCAACGGTGCTGGCCAAGTGTCTCTGACAACAAGGCCATCAGCGTGTTTCCAGATTAACGCGGTTGGCTACGTACGGTGCGAAAGACGTTCAACATACACACATACCTGAACCCCCTAAAGCCACCGGGGCCACTTCTTACAGAACCGATAATTTTCCCGCGAGCGAGTGAACCCCCTCTCACCGGCACCGCGGCGAGGCTCGGCGTGGGAGCGCCGTCCGGAATGGCGGCGACGGCACCGGCTGCCCGTGCGATCACGCGCTGCTTCTCCTGCGACAGCAGCTGTAGCTCCCGCAGCTCCGACAGCCCGACCTGCGTGGACAGCAAACGTGCACAAGAGTTAGCCCGCCAGGTAACCACGAGCGTCGACGGAGAGGAAAACAAGTAACGCGTAAGCAGGCAACACTCGAACCATGTTGGTGATTGGGTTGGCCCACGTGGTAGTGGCTTCATACCAAAGTTATTGTCGTGCCACTCCACCACCCGGCAAGACTGTCAGATTCACGGCACGGGTCAGTCTTTGTAATTTGGGCCGAGCTGCTTTTAAATGTTTTTTTTTCTTTCTTCAAAGCAATTCATCTCATTGGTCTACTTTAAATATGTTATTTAAAACATATCTTTAAAGTAAACTTTTCAAAAGGCTTTATTTTTCCCATGTCTATCCCTCCCCAGAACATAGTAATGTATTTTGTTACACATCTCATTGGCCACATGGCTTTCTGGGAGTTATTTTTTTTCCACTTGCATTGGTTGAATACAATCAACACTCTGGGCCAGTTTCGACATTCAGTGTCTCATCAAAAGTCAGGCAAACCTGATTAAACCAATGCTGGAGAACTTCCAGATCTGTCCTGAGTTTTGCTCGTATTAAACCAATGCTGCTGAAATGTTTTTTTTTACTCCAAAAACAGCCATGTGGTGGATAAGATTTGTCAAAGAAAACGCCTGCATTCTTTCCGTGGGTGGAGGGACAGACATGTGAAGGAGGCGTGCTGTCAGCTTATTTTTGTTTCCCCCAGGGTTGACGCGATGTCAATTCTTCACGACATGATATTAAAGGTCACGAAATGGCAAACATCACGATGGTCGGTTTCCTTAAACTTTGCAACTGCGTTTCGCTTTGCGAATGCACAATATTTCTACTTTGCTCTACTTCATGTGCAAAATAACCGGCACTCGCCACTGTGAAGCGTGGTCAAACAAGCCCCCACGAATGACACACCATAGAGGCCTTCATCCAGCAGTGGATTGCTAAAGAGATGTACAGAAGAACCGCTCTTAACGACCACCCCTGTTAACAACTAATCCCTTAACGACGGGCCTCAATAGAGCCAAATGTGTAGTGTATAGTGTAGTGTAGTGTGTCGTGTATAGTAGTGTAGTGTATAGTGTAGCGTATAGTGTAGCGTATAGTAGTTGTAGTGCCTCCATAGAGCCCAATGTTTGATTACTGACCATTCCCCTGTAAACGACGGGCTGTTGTAGGTACAGTAAATATTAATGAATGCATTTATGAGCCGTGTTTATTTAATATTATGCGTTTATAATGTTGTTAGTATTTTTATGTATAAATATCCATTGTTTCATTATTACACATTTTTCTTGGTGAAAAAGCCTTTAACGTGCATTTCCTGTACTCGCTTAACAACCGGTGTCGTGGAACCAATCACTGTCATTAAGAGGGGTTCTAATGTATACGATAATTATCATAATCATTTCAACGTTTATAATTATGTGCAGGGTAATTAAGAATGCGGATTGATTGGCGAGCGCCACCTGCAGTCTTGTCTCCAGAACTTGCACCATCTGCTCACACTTCTCCAACGAGGACTCCTCCATCGCCTCCTCCTTCACATCCTCCACGCTTTCCACACTCTGCCAACAGAGACAACATTCGTCGTCATCTTCTTTCTTACGGCCCACGAAGGGGGAACCGTTTTTCGTTTTGCCCACCCGGCACAACTTGCAGGCGCGACCGTGGACGCGCCGGTCGTACCGTGTAAGCGATGGGGCCCAGGTCGGTGATAGTGAATTCCTGGAGTGGATTTCTTGGTGCGGAATCGCCGTGCAGCAGCATGGCCTGGTCGCACCCTGTGCCAGCAAAGTCTCCCACAAGCACGGCCCTCACGCCCTCCCAGCAAGCGGCCACCTGCTCTCAGGTTAGGGTTGGACACAGGATTGCGGTGTTGAGTAATATCAATATTAATGCAGTCATAGAAATTCGTCGGCCTATGAGAAAATCAGCTTGAATACGTTCGATCTTGGCGGAGCTAGAAAGCCAGGTAGGGTTGAGCCTGGACAACCGTTGGATGGGCAACTTCATCTAAACTGACAGGTGTTATAGGCTTCTGCGGGGCTAAGCAGTAGTTGAGGGCTGATATATATATTTCTCAGAGCTGGAATTTAGCCAAATAAACTGCATAACCAGACACAAAGTCACGTTTTTTTAATGCAGTCATTGGTGCCCAGGCTGAGAACATCAACTCGCTATACCTGATAACCTGATTTAATTTTCTCGGATTCAAATCCAGGTTCTCAGGGCTGCTCGGTAGTGTCTCCGACACGGCCATTATGAACCGCACCCCCAGAGCAACCCGCCCCTCACCTGAAACGTCTCCCGCCAAACGGCGCACATGCCCCCGCCCTCCGACCGCACGAGCAGCGCTCCATCTCCACACCAGCCGCTCCGCATCTCAAAAATCCCTCTCGCATCGCCGAACGGCAAGGCACACATGCGCGGCGCTTTCCCACCGCTGGCAAACTCCAGCAGCTGTCCCGCGCTGGTGGCTATCACCACCACCACCATAGCATCACAATCACGAGCATCAACATCATCACCCTTTGCGGCCACCATTGCCAGCCCGTCCTGGCGGTCAGACGTCCACAGGCAGCGAGTGACGCCTGCGTATTCGTGGGGCACAGGCAGAGATGGCGGTACCGATGGTGGCAGTGAAGAGGTCTTCTGCAGAGGCACAGAGATCCACTCTGCTGATAAGACCCAGTCATTGCTGCTGATGATGCTCCTGCTGCTGCTGCTTGACGTGCGGCCCAGAGCTGTGAGCTGCCCATAAAACTCGCCAACCCAAAACACATCCATCGTTGACAGCAGCTCAAACGTCTGCACAATCACATTGCTGCTGGTGCTGCTGGTGCTGCTGGTGGCAGTGGCCACGTAGATTTGCCCATCACGCCACCACACAACCGTAGAGCCATTTACCAACGCCACGTCGGCACCACGTGGCCCCGACGGCGAGTCAAACTCCAACCTCGTCTCAAAGTGGTCAGGGTGTGGGCTGCATCTCCCGGTCTCGAGTGACAGCACCACGTAGGACCGACACCTCCTCCTGATCCCCATTCTCCTTTCAGCATTGTCCACCTCGTCAACATCGTCGTCGTCAGTGACGACTGGGAGCTGCTGCACATGCAGCAGCACGCACGATCGCACCGCCCCCCGAACTGGCGAGCGGCCGCAGAACAACACGTCTAGGGTTCGAGTCCGGCTTGGGGCCACCCAGCGAGGCCCGGCTGAGCTCCATTTGAAGACATGGGTCCCTGGGTCGAACTTGGCTGCTTGAACCTCGAGGGATAGTCGCTCTCCCTGTCCGGTGGCTGTTGTGGCTGTTGTGAACAACACCACGAAGTTTCCGTGCGGCAGCAGGAATGGCCCCGCAGCTCTGGTGGCTGAATCTCCGATACTCATGCTCTGTGGGGTGGGGGGTAGTAAATAGAAAAGATGGGGGAAGCATTAAAGTGGTAGAATGGCGGTGGTGAGAATGGTCAAGAACAGCATCTGTGTAGGCTCTAGAAGGACGCTGATACTGGGCAGTTGAGGCAGTCGCCCTCCAACAACGAATTGCAGAGGAGCGACGCTCACAACCAACGAGCGGATGCCGGGCACAGTAGGGGGGTACAGCTGGTGGTGCATCTGCCAGTCATCTCAGTCAGCCAACCCATGGCACCTGCTGGGTCTGTCCCGAGACATCCTGCACCTAGCCTGGCACAGTAGGGGGACACAGCTGGTGGTGCATTTGCCATTCATCTCAGTCAGCCAACCCACGGCACCTGCCGAGTCTGTCCCGTGACCTCCTGCACCTAGCCTGGCACAGTAGGGGGTACAACTGGTGGTGCTTCTGCCAGTCATCTCGGTCAGTCAACCCACGGCACCTGCCGGGTCTGTCCCGTGACCTCCTCCTCCCAGCGAGGCTTCGACACTTCACGTGGCCTCAAAGTGCACCTAGTCTGGCACGGGCTCCGTGGTGACGTCACCGTCACAACTACAGCGACGATGATCTGAACGGGTCCAGGGTCTCCCCTAGACGACTCAGCCTCAAATGAGTACCCGGTGCGGTGTGTCGTAAACATCGCCACTGGGGAGACAAAGGCGGTCGGGCGTGGTGCTGGCCACCCACCCCGTCGTGTGCCGTTCTGGCCTTCACAGGTGCTACTCGCTAACAGCACTTGCCCCTACAGTCTGCTAAGGCTACACGGGGGATCTTTGGACTGTATTTGTTTGCAGATGGGGGTGATGGTGAGGTGGTAGTTGGTGGTAGTGATGGGGAAGTGGTAGTGATAGTGAGGTAGTGGTGGTGAGGTGGTATTGGTAAGGTGGTAGTGATGGTGGGGTGGTGGTACTGGTGAGGTGGTAGTGATGGTGGGGTGGTAGTGATGGTAGTGGTGGTGAGTTAGTGGTGATGGTGAGGTGGTAGTGGTGGTGATGGTGGGGTGGTGGTGAGGTGGTAGTGGTGAGAAGGTAGTGGTGGTAGTGGTGGTGAGGTGATGATGGTGAGGTGGTGAGGTGGTAGTGATGGTAAGGTAGTGGTGAGGTGATGGCGAGGAGGTGGTAGTGGTGATGTGGTAGTGATGGTGGTGGTGGTGAGGTAGTGGTGGTGATGGCGAGGTGGTAGTGATGGTGCTGGTAGTGATGGTAAGGTAGTGGTGAGGTGATGGCGAGGAGGTGGTAGTGGTGATGTGGTAGTGATGGTGGTGGTGGTGAGGTAGTGGTGGTGATGGTGAGGTGGTAGTGATGGTGCTGGTAGTGATGGTAAGGTAGTGGTGAGGTGATGGCGAGGAGGTGGTAGTGGTGATGTGGTAGTGATGGTGGTGGTGGTGAGGTAGTGGTGGTGATGGTGAGGTGGTGGTAGTGATGGTGATGGTAGTGGTGGTGAGGTAGTGGTGAGGTGATGGCGAGGAGGTGGTAGTGGTGATGTGGTAGTGATGGTGGTGGTGGTGAGGTAGTGGTGGTGATGGTGAGGAGGTGGTAGTGGTGATGTGGTAGTGATGGTGGTGAGGTAGTGGTGGTGATGGTGAGGAGGTGGTAGTGATGGTGGTGGTAGTGATGGTGGTGGTGGTGAGGTGATGGCGATGAGGTGGTAGTGATGGTGCTGGTAGTGGTGGTAAGGTAGTGGTGGTGATGGCGAGGAGGTGGTAGTGGTAGTGATGGGAGTGGTAGTGATGGTAGTGGTGAGGTGATGGCGAGGAGGTGGTAGTGAGGGGACTTCTCTCGCCTCCTCACTTCACGCGGAGTAACGCGGCCGAGGGAACGAGCCCCGTGGAGACGGAGCGATGACGAGGATCATCTCACGGTGTGTGCAGCTGCTACTGCTGCTGCCGCTGGGTGTGGATTGTAACGCAGAATCGAGGGGGTCTTGAGGGGTCTGGAGGGGTCAGGCCCTCAGCCCGCGGGGGTCGAGCGCGGCTTACCATAACTGTAGTTACCTCACGTAAACAAAAGCATAACTCAACGTAAAAGTTAATTTATTATGCACGCATTTGTCGATAGCGTTAACGACAACACAACAAACCTGGGGTTTAATGTACAACAAACCTGGGGTTTACAAACCTGGGGCTTAATGTACAACAAACCTGGTGTTTAATGTACAACAACGCGAATGTGTTGACGTGCCGAGAGACGCGCATTTCCCGCCTTTTTACCCCGCGCGAGGGTCACGTGATCGACTCGCCATTGGCCGCCCGCCGCCCCCCCTCCCCTCTCCCCCCTCCCCCCTCCCCCCTCTCCCCCCTCCCCTCTCCCCTCTCTGAGTGGGGGGGGGGGGGTAAGGGGGTGAGTGGGAGGGCATGGGGGTGATTGGGTGAGGCACAAGGGGGGTGAGTGGGGGGAGGGGGTTGGGGGTGAGTGGGGGGGGCATGGAGGGTGAGTGGGGGGGGACAAGGGGGGTGAGTGGGGGGAGGGGGTTGGGGTGAGTGGGGGGGGCAAGGGGGGTGAGTGGGGGGAGGGGGTTGGGGTGAGTGGGGGGGGGCAAGGGGGGTGAGTGGGGGGGGGACAAGGGGAGTGAGTGGGGGGAGGTCCTGGCGGCCACGTGACGCGCGTGACGCGACGCGGAACAGCTGATCACTCGCCTCACCATGGCCGCGGATGGCGAGGGCGAGGCCTCCGACTCCTCTCCCGACTCCTCCTCGCTGCCGCCGTCGGCGTCGTCGGCGTCGTCTCCCGGCGCCTCCCGCCTCTCGCTCGCCGCCTTCGCCCTCTGCCCGGACGAGGACCCGGCCGTGAGTCAGCTGAGGCAGAGGTTCATCGACGACTACGGATCCAGTACGTGGGCTGTGTGCTGTGGGGGCCCTCTCGCGGTGTGGGCGGGCGAGATGTTGACTACCTCGCCTGGTGTGCAGGAGGTCGTGGGTTCGATCCCGACCCTGCCGCCTGCCGCTGTGTAGTTGGAGTTTGTGTGCGCGTCTCTCTCCTCATGGTCGCGTGGATTTTTCTCCGGGTGTGTGTGTGAGTGTGTGGAGTGTGTGGGTGAGTGGGAGGTGTTCACGCGTGTGAGTGCGAGTGTGTGGGTGGGTGAGTGAGAGTGTGTGGGTGAGTGAGTGGGTGTGTGGGCGAGTGAGTGGGTGAGTGAGTGAGTGTGTGGGAGGTGTTCACGCGTGTGGGTCAGTGAGTGTGTGGGTGGGTGAGTGTGTCAGTGTGTGTGAGTGTGTGGGTGAGTGAGTGTGTGGGTGAGTGCGTGTATGTGTGTCAGTGTGTGTGCGAGTGTGTGTGTGTGTGGGTGAGTGAGTGGGTGTGTGGGCGAGTGAGTGGGTGTGTGGGCGAGTGAGTGGGTGTGTGGGCGAGTGAGTGGGTGTGTGTGCGAGTGTGTGTGTGTGTGGGTGGGTGAGTGAGAGTGTGTGGGCGAGTGAGTGGGTGTGTGGGCGAGTGCGTGGGTGAGTGGGTGAGTGAGTGGGTGTGTGGGTGAGTGAGTGGGTGTGTGGGTGAGTGGGTGAGTGCGTGGGTGAGTGGGTGAGTGCGTGTGTGTGTGCGTGTGTGTGTGTCAGTGTGTGTGCGAGTGAGTGTGTGTGAGTACTGTGCGCACACCATGCTCATAATCGGCACGGAGAGTACACACGGGATCGACAGTACACACGAGTCGGACCGTACACGCGGGACAAAAATCAATTATCCGATCAGCACGGTTGGCTATGTACGGCGCGAATGAAGTTCATCATACAGTACGAGAGGGACAGTATACACTGGACGGACGAGAATATATCCTCGATTCGAATCTAGACGCCTCGCCAGGCCGTGGAGGAGGAGGAGGAAGTGGGATCGAGTCCTCCAGAGGCGCCGAGCCGTGTCAACACAGCGCACTCGGATATTGTAACAGCTCTCCACATGGTGGGGTTGGCCCTTTAAATCATTTAGACATCATCATCATTAGCCACGGTCGATCCACTGCTAGATGACGCGTTCCATCCCTCGGCCGCCACACCGTTTATTAGTCTTCACTGTCGCCCATCGTGAGTGAGAATTGTTGTTCTCTAGCTCACCCACGGTGAGTGTGGATGTGAGTGGGTGATAATTGATGTCTAGCTCACCCACGGTGGGTGTGGGTGAGTGACATGGGGAGTGACATGGTGAGTGACATGGTGAGTGCTATGGTGAGTGACATGGTGAGTGACGTGGTGAGTGACGTGGTGAGTGACGTGGTGAGTGACGTGGTGAGTGACATGGTGAGTGACATGGTGAGTGCTATGGTGAGTGACGTGGTGATTGACGTGGTGAGTGTGGGTGAGTGACATGGTGAGTGTGGGTGAGTGACAGTTGAATTAGTTTTGGCGGCGTTGGGGTGTTGGAGGGTTCTTAACAACACAGATTTGGGCAGGATATTACCACGTGGCCTCGCCCAGCAATCCACTGCGTCTCATTGCGGCTACTTGCCTTGCAGCGCGTGTCATCATCATCATCGCCGTGAGGCCACCACGGTGGCGAGATGTTAGCTACCTGGCCGGGTAGGGGCCATCCATTCAGTCCGTACGCGTGGAGGGGGGAGGGGGGGTTAATCCAAATGCGTTCGCTTGCGTATGGGGGGTTCACTGACAATGTACGCGTAAGAAACGGGGGGGGGGGGGGTGAAGCCTCGATAATAATGTGTCTACATTGACGTCCAAATGAGTTAGATAGTCCGGCGGTGGACTATCTGTTTGCTTGAACACGTTAGTATGATTAATCTTTGATAGTTTCTGCGTGGATTAAATATATATCGGCCGTTCTATAGGATTCGGGGGGGGGGGGGGGGGCGTCAAGCGTATGTACGCACGCAGGTGGGGGGGGGGGGGTAAAAGTCTGCGTGCGTACAGGGAGGGGGGGAGGAGTCAAGTTTTGACAGATTTTTGCGTGCGTATTCAATGGATGGCCCCGTATATAGGAGATCATGGATTCGATTCCGACCCTGACGCCTGCTGTACATTTGGAGTTTGCGTGTCTCTCTCCCCTGTGGTTGCATGCATTTTTCTCCAGGTCCTCCGGTTTTTCCCTCCATATTTAGAATCATCATCACGCATTTAGAGTATTTGGCTGATAGAAATTTCCACATGATGAAAAGCCACTTGGTTGAGCTATCATTTATGTTGGGCAGGTCGCTGCTGAAAAAACATCTACATAGCTCAGTTGGCCTTGACCTGGTAACGTAAAAAAATTGTTTAGTCTGATTACTTGTCCCATGCAAAACGTCGTCGTCGATGATGATTTCCCAGAACCGGCGGAAGGGGGCGGCCCCCGGTACGACCCTCGTGACCTCGAGTTCGTGCGGACCAACGACGCTCTCCTACGCCGAGTGCTGCGCTCGAGGAATGGCTCGTTGGACGCGGCGGCCCACGCCCTGGACGACGCCTTGGTCTGGCGCCGCGAGTTTGAGATCAACGGTGAGAGGAGCGAGCGGGCGGGCGGGCGAACCGAAGCCCCCGGCAACCTCCGGGGAGCGACGTGGACCCGGCGGCAGATGTTCGTGATTCGCTTCCGGAAGGCCGCCGCTGGTTAATGGCGCGGGCGCGCATATTACACCGTAAAATACTACGAGCCGTCCACTTTGCGGCAAACGTTAACAAGTCGTCCGCTTCGCGGCAGACGTTAACGAGTCCCGTGACGTCTTTCAAAACGATTTGGCCACCGTGTGCCGACGCCACCTGTGACGGTTACGCCTGCAGGATTAACCACAGTGGCTGCTGGTCTCATGAATGATTCCTATAATTTTAGCCCGTCGATAAACCCTAACCGTGGCATTGATTGGCCTTGTCTGTGACCCTTTGCCGGTGACCCCTGCCGGTGACCCCTGTCCGTGTGCCGCATGCAGACATCACGGAGCTGAGCTTCGACGCGGCGCTGCTGGAGCACGGCGCCATCTACCTGCACGGCCTGGACAGGGACTCAAATAGGATACGTGCGTCACGCTTGCGCACGCACGCTCGCACGTTCGATCTTCTGCTGCCACACTGCAGCTTTTGAGTTCCGAAGGCATGAGAGTGACGCGTATTCCGCCCAACCACTCACCCGCTCACCCACTCACACATTCAACCACTCGCTCAACCAATCACTTATCTACTCACTCACACATTTAACCACTCATTCTCCCACTCTCCCACTTACACACTCACCCACTCAATCATTTAACCAATTTTCTATTCCCTTACTCACCCACTCAACCATTCAACCTCTCTCCCACTCACTCAACCACTCACCCACTCAACGATTCAACCTCTTTTCCACTCGTCCACTCAACCATTCAATGACTCGGTCACTCACCCAATCACCCACTCAACCGCCCTCCCATTCGCGTAGCTACTCAACCACCCCACCTTTTCCCCCCTCCCCCGTTCTCATGGTTGTGTGGCCCCGTGTCCCTCCCCGCCCGTGTGCTCCACGCTCAGTGTGGCTGCACGTGCGCATGGGCGTGAAGTCGCACCTCGACAAGCGGCGCCTCGTCGCCTTCTGGGTGGAGCGGCACACCCAGCGCGACCCCAACAAGAAGATCACCGTCATGTTCGACATGGCTGAGACGGGGCTTTCGAATGTGGTGAGCCGCCCGCCCGCTCAACCACCCACTCGCTCGCTCGCTCAACCACCCACTCGCTCGCTCAACCACCCACTCGCTCAACCACCCGCTCGCTCAACCACCCACTCGCTCGTACAATCGCCATGTCGACTCACACACTCGGCCACCCACTCGCATAACCAGTCGCCCCCCGCCGAATCATTCAACATCTCGCGCTCTCAACCGCCGACTCACTTGTCCGCTGTCCCCACTCGCGCACTCATCCATCCACTCACTCACTCACTCGCTTGTTCTTGGTTATTCACTTTCCCACTTGCTTATCTCCTCACCCACTCAAATATTCAACAACAACAACCGCCAGTGGTGGTGACATCACCACGGCGCTTATGCCAGGCTATGTGCACACTCATCCACCCACTCATCTACTCACTCACGCATCCACTCACCCACGCAAACATTCACCCGCTCACCCACTCACTCACTCACTCACTTGTCCACTCGCCCGCCCAGCCACTCAACCCGCCAGCCACTCAACCCGCCCACACATTCACCGAATGTAAGTTTGTCTTAATTGGTGGAAACTGCCCCATTTGCCTTCTCCCCACCTAGGACTTGGACTTCATTCGATTTGTGATCAACTCCTTCAAGATCTACTACCCTGGACTGCTGGGTGAGTCCCCGGAGTTTGGCAAATCCCGGTTAGGGCCCCGGGCCATGACGCGGCCCAGAGGCGGGCGTGGGGGCAAGCGGGCGAGTGGGCGGGCGAGTGGGTGGGCGGCGTAGGCCGCTATGCCCTAGATCAGTGGTTCTTCTTAACCTGGTGTTCACGCACCCCCTGGGGGTGCGAGGTTCCCTTTCTAGGGGTTGCGAGACATGGCCAGATTTTTTTAGAAGGTAAATAATCGAAAACACAATTAAGCATGGGCACGTAAGTACAACCACTTTGTTTCATCAAACCTATGTGTTTATTTTTTACACGATTGTGAGCCAAAGGGGTGCATGGCTGCAGTAAAGGTTATAAGAAACACTGTCATAGAGGTTCACCAGGGTTCAAATCTGGCAAGCCACCCCCCGGTAAAACCGCGGCGGTGTGAATCGTCCGCGGCAGTTCTACGTGCTGTCTGCTTCATCAGAGATCCGCGCGACGTCGTTCGCGAAGAGTAGGCCGCTGTTTGCGTGCCAGCCTCACGGTCCAAATTTTTTACCAAATGTTGATCAAATTTGAACCGCAAAAATTACTCGTTTCGGTTCGCACACAGCAGCAACAGCGTCCCACCTGGGCAAAACAAGCACAGCAATAATTACCTATGCACTGCTGGATGAAGTCCTTTGCAAGCCATTGTCAGCTCTCACGGTTCCACAATGCGATGCTCCTAAACTAAACAAATATTTTACCAGGTAAGGCCCACTGAGCTATTTAGCTCTTTTTCAGAAGCGGCCTGGCCACAAATGATTGCTCAACAAGTGGATTGTTATTGTGTGGAGATTTACAGCAACAGCCAAATACTGTGAATGCGTGACTGTTGATTCTAAACGTGGAGGGAAAAACCAGAGGACCCGGATAAAAATCCACGCGACCACGGGGAGAGAGACACGCAAACTCCAAACATACAGCAGGCGGGGTCGGGGTCGGGGTCGAACCGACGACCTCCTGTATACAAGGGGAGGTAGTTAATATCCCTTAGCCAACGTGGCGCCCTGCGCGCGAGCCGGTTTCATCGCTCCACCTCCGCGGTGGAACGCCGCTGGGCGAACAATTACGATGATGAACGCCGACGGTGATGTATGTTTGTTGTTTATTTCCTCGCAGCCAAAATCATCGTGTTTGAGATGCCCTGGATCATGAACGGTGAGTGAGGCTGCCCCGCACCCCATCGCACCCAACGCACTGTGTGCGTCACAGTGATGGGCTCCTTATGTGAGAGGGCTCATTGCCTTTCTGGTGTGTAGGTGTGTGTGTCTGTCTCCGCGCTACAGAACCCGGCGACCCGAGTTCGATTCCCGCTCATGGCCAACACCAGTAACAATGATCTGAACCGGTCCTGGGCCTCCGCTAGATAAATTCAGCCTCAAATGAGTACCTGGTGCGGTGTGTAAAAAAACATCGCCACTGGGGAGACAAAGGCGGTCGGGCGTTGTGTTGGTCAACGACCCCCTCGTGTAACATGCCGGCGTTCAGTGGTGCTTGCTAACAGCACTTGCCCAGCAGTCTGTTAAGACTATACGGGGGATCTTTATCTTTGTATTCACGTGGCCTTGAATGTGCATCTGACCTGGAACAGGTGCCGTGGCGACATCACCGCCACTTAGTGGCGAATGGTGGCTGTTGTATTGGTGTGTTTGTACGTGTGTACGCATACGTTTGTGTGTGCGCTGGCTGACAGCACTTGCCCCCAGCCGCCTGTTTAAACTTTAGGGGGGCCTTTCTCTGTGTTCAGCGGCGTGGAAGATCATCAAGGGCTGGCTGGGCCCGGAGGCCATACAGATCCTGAAGTTTGTGTCGCGCGGAGACGTACAGCAGCACATCGGCGCCGACTGCCTGCCCCCGCACATGGGCGGCCTGGTGAGCCCCCCCCCGCCCTTCTTCATTTGCCCCCCCCCCCCCCCCCCGTGCGTGCTCACTCGCTTTACCTGCGACGGCCTCGCTCCCCGTGGAGTCTCGAGGACTCGGGAGGGGTTCCTGCCAGGTTCAGGCAGCGGTGGCAGCGACAACAACAAAGACAACAAACGTGAACGCCGCAGAGGAGGAGTACAGCAGGAATATTGCACAACCAACAAACGATGTCCTAACTGGACATCTGTGTGTCGTGACACCTGGCACGGTCGTCTTCAACAACAGAAGTCTTTAGTTCGTCCTGCATGAGGCACACACGCAGCTCTTCAAGGATTCCCTTCTCTCCAAGCGTCTTGGAGTGAAGGGAATCTTGTACATCCCTCAAGGCCCTTCACCGAAAGTTCCTTGACCTTTCACCTTCTCTCCAGCCAATCACCTTTCACCTTCTTCCAGCCAATCGCTTTCCACCTTCTCTCCAGCCAATCACCTTCCACTTCTCTCCAGCCAACCACCTTCCACTTTCTCTGACAGATCCCAACTGTCCTTCCTATCACTCATCCTCCGTTTCCCGCTCTTTACATTTTAGTATTTCTCCTGCAATCCCTTCGATTTTCCTGCCTCTAACCAATCCCCTGTCAGGCCCCGTTAAGTACCAGTCAGAGGGGCTTTGTTTTTACTTCCTGCTTATGCGTGTCACGTGGTGTCCACCACGTCAGGTGAGTATCGTTGGTAGTGACACAATCTCTTCATAGCTCATCGGATTCCTCCTCACATTCTAAAAAAAGATTCAGATTTTGAAACGAGGTGATTTTTTTAACGGTCGTAAACGAAGGGCACTTGAGAAACTTTACTTTAAATAAAACGGTGCGAACATGACGTTGAGAGCCAGTTGGCACCGGAAAAAAACAACGCGTCAGGTGCAATTAAGCTCTTTGTTTGAGTCTTAACTGTGACCATAAACACACGTGAATCGAAGAAGATAAAATTGGAGGAATCCGATGAGCTATGAAGCTCCCCTTGACATGCGTCTAAGTAAGCTGGGTTACAGGTGCGAGGAAACTTTGCATTCTAGGCAGTCGCCGATGGCGGACAACTCTCTAATCGCCGCAGTGGCGAGGAGATGTTAACTCCCTCGCCTGGTATACAGAAGGTCATGGGTTCGATCCAGAGCCTGATGCCTGCTGTATAGTTGTTGTAGTTTGTGGTGTCTCTCTCTCTCTCCCTGTGGTTGCGTGGATTTTTCACCGGGACCTCCGGTTTTCCCCCTCCACGTTTAGAATCAACATCACCACGCGTTCAGAGCATTTGACTGTTGCTATGAATTCTCACGTGATGAGCCGCTTTGTTGAGGTGGTATCGTTTGTAGGACCAGGAGCTACACAGCCCAGTGGGGCTTACCTGGTAAACAATAAAATAGTTTAATCGTAAAATAGAAACCGTTTAGTCATTATATAATCGCGTAAACGTCTGCATGCGTGCGCCCCCCACCCTCACCGCCCCCCACACGTGCGCAGGACAAGTTCCGCTACAGCTACCCGCCCCTGCCGGAGGACGACCACTTTGAGTGTCCGGTTCCGTCTCCGGAGGACGAGGAGCCGGGCGACGCCAAGGAGGCGGAGGAGGCGTGGACCATCGCCCCGCTCACTCAGGCCGCCCCCCTCACTGAGGCCGCCCCCCTCACTCAGGCCGACGCGCCGGCGCACCGCCAGGTTCCTAACGGCACGGGGTCGGACGAACGATCGGGTTCTCGTGACGGGTTGACTTGCCCCCCCCCGGCATCTCAATGTTGTTATTTACACCACCGACTCGGAGATTGTAAATAAAAAATATTAAAAATATATAAAAATATATTCTTACCAGGTGAAGGCGCCACTGAGCTATGGAGCTGTGTTTTTTCAGAAGCGAGGTGGCTGCCACAAATGAAAGCTCAACGAAGCGACTCATCATCATCATTGTGGAAATGTATAGCAGCAGCTGAATACTCTAAACGCTGTGGTGTTGATTTAAATATGGAAGGAAAAACCGGAGAACCCGGAGAAAATTCGACGCGACCACATGGAGAGAGACACGCAGACCCCAAATATTCAGGGATCAGAGTCGGGATCGAACCCACGTACCTCCTGTATACCAGGTGAGGTAGTTAACATCTCCTAGCCACCGTGATGATGATGATGGTGTAACCCACGTACCTCCTGTATACCAGGTGAGGTAGTTAACATCTCCTAGCCGCCGTGATGATGATGATGGTGTAACCCACGTACCTCCTGTAGACCAGGCGAGGGAGTCAACATCTCGCCACCGTGGCACCTAAAATAAAGTGTTTCCGCCCGGTTCCGAACCGGGGAATCTTTTGCGTGCGAGGCGAACGTGATAACCATTACACTACGGAACCTACTTGCTGTACTGCCTCCACTCAGGTGTCGTTTGCGGATGACGTGGATGCGAGGTCGCTCTCAGCGGAGCCGAGCGAGGCTCTGGCGGGAGAGGGCCGGGCCAGGAAGCTCAAGCGGCCCGTGTCGATATTTCGGGGGCCTCTGCTCAACATCAGGTACCCACGGCGCCCGAGTGGTCCCCTGTGCGTCTCCACGTTGTCTCCACATTGTCTTCGCGTTGTCTCTTGCATGTCCCACTGTCACCTTGTCTCCATGTCTCTGTGTTGGCCCCATGTCTCCCTGTCTTTATCTCCTCACGTATCTGTATGTCTCTAACGTCTGTGTCTCCACCTCCTCGTGTCTCTTTAACTCCTCCCTTTCCCCGTGTCTCCCCGTGACTCCCCGTGACCCATTTGACCCCCGTGTCTCCCCGTGACTCTCCGTGACTCCCCGTGACCCCCTGTGTCTCCCCGTGACTCCCCGTGTCTCTCCGTGACCCCCGTGTCTCCCCGTGTCTTCCCATGACCCCCCGTGTCTCCCCGTGTCTCCCCGTGACCCCCGTGTCTCCCTGTGTCTCCCCGTGTCTCTCCGTGACCCCCGTGTCTCCCCGTGTCTTCCCATGACCCCCTGTGTCTCCCCCGTGTCTCCCCGTGACTTACCGTGACCCCCGTGTTTCCCCGTGTCTCCCCGTGACCCCAGCCCGGCGGAGGAGCTGCAGTTTGGTTCCCGCGAGAGCGGCGGTGACACGAAGTGTCTCATGGTGCTCACCAACGCCACGCAGGCGCCGGTCGCGTTCAAGGTGGGAGGGGGGAACCGAGGAAGGAACGAATGAGCAGACGAATGAATAAATGAGCAAATGCGTGGTTGTCCTGCCAAGTGAGGAAGCGACATGGGTGATCTTGGTCGCGAAAGCCTTGCAAAACGAACGAGCAAGTGATTCAGTGAATGAGTAGACAAGGCAATGGAGTGACTGAGTGAATTAATTGTAGAGAGAACGAATCAATGAATCGGCAAGTGAATTAATGAATAAGATAGTTAAAGAATGAAAAGGTGTGCGAGTTAATGAACCACGGTCAAAATGATTGAGCGAGTGAATGAATGAGCAAGCATGCGATGGGCAGAAGACTGAACACACGGTGGCGTGCGAATGAACAAACGAACGAACGAAGGAGCGAATTAATGTCCCTTCCCCTCCGCGCAGGTGAAGACCACGGCACCGGAGAAATACCGCGTGAGGCCGAGCAACGGCAACCTGGAGCCGGGCGCCTCCTGCGACGTCCAAATAGCCCTGCTCAGCAGTGAGTGAGCAAGCGGGCGGGCGCTGCCACCCCAGCTCTCCGTGCCGCCTGCTCCCCTCCGCTCCCCATTTGACTCCACGCTTTGCAGCAACAGAGGCCCGGCTTTGATTCCCGACTCTGGCGCCTCTCTGCGCGTGGAGCTTGTGTCTTCTCCCGCCCTGTCCTGCAGAGTGCGTGTCAGAGTGTCACGTGATTTGGCACAGTTGGGGGTGCAACAGGTGGTGCATCTCCCAGTCGTCTCAGTCAGTCTACCTGTGGCACCTGCTGGGTCTGTCCCGTGACCTCCTGCCAGCGAGCCTTCGACGCTTCACGTGGCCTCAAAGTGCTCTTGGCCTGGCACGGGCGCTGTGGTGACGTCACCATCCCTTAGAGGCGAATGTCGGGTGTTGTTGTGAGAGTGTGATTGAGTGCGAGCGTGTGCGAGTAAGAAGGTGTACGAGTGTGTGGGTGCGGGTGAGCTGTGGTGCAGCGGTTAGCACGCTGCGCTACGAACCCGGTGAGCTGAGTTCGATTCCCACGCAAGATCAGTAAAAGTGCCGAATATTTAAACCAGTCCTGTGCCTCGCCTAGGTCGACTCGGCCTTTAAATGAGTACCTGGTGCGATGTGTAAACATCACCACGAGGGAAACGCGCGGCCTGGGCGTGGTGCTGGCCACCCACCCCCTCGTGTGCCCTGCCAGCCTTCATCGGTGCTGCACACAAACAGCACTTGCCCCAATAGTCTGTTAAAGGCTATACGGGGATCTTTGTCTTTGTGTGGGCAAGTGTGCGAATGAGCGAGCGAGTGAGTGGTTGTGGCCTGCGGTGTGGTGGTGGTGGCGGATGAGACGTGACTGTGTCTGCTAGGGTGAGTCCTCAACACGAGTGGAGGAATCTACGAGTTTGAGTCGACGGGATAGTCCACCATGGCGGCAGCGTGAGCGATAGCGGAGGGTCAGAACGCCACGCAGTTACGAGTGAAGGCAAACTCGTTATTTTGATTATTTGGCTGCTATAAATTTCCACGTGATAAACCACTTTGAGCTATCAATTGTGGCCAGGTCGCTTCTGAAATATAAGTTAATACTTGGGTGGGCTTTCCCGGGTTAGATAAAAAATAGTTTAGTTTTATTTGTATATTTTAAGTGCCTTGTTTATCTTGGCTATACTTTGCACTCCTATCGTCTTTTTTATTCTCTGTTGTTGTAACATTCTTACCCCGTGCCCCCTACTGGACATCTGTGAAAAAGATCTTTATAGCTCATTGGATTCCTCCGGTATGGAATAAATGTCTTCCTCTTCTTTTGTTCGCGATGTTCCGTGTGTGGGCCTAGGCTACGAGGCGTCGCAGATGGACAAGTTCCAGGTGATCGCGGCAGAGGTGAAGGAGGAGGTGGTGGGAGCGGTGCCTTTCGACCTCTCCGCATTCTGGAAGAACGTGCCAAGGCAGAGCCTCGTGGAGCACAGGTAGTGTGCGTGTGTGGTGTGTGTATGTGGTGTGTGTGGTGTGTGTGGTGTGCGTGTGTGGTGTGGTGTGTGCGTGTGTAGTGTGTGGTGTGCGTGTGTAGTGTGTGGTGTGCGTGTGTAGTGTGTGGTGTGCGTGTGTAGTGTGTAGTGTGTGGTGTGTAGTGTGTGGTGTGCGTGTGTAGTGTGTGGTGTGCGTGTGTAGTGTGTGGTGTGCGTGTGTAGTGTGTGGTGTGCGTGTGTAGTGTGTGCGTGTGTAGTGTGTGGTGTGCGTGTGTAGTGTGTGGTTTGTGTGGTGTGCGTGTGTAGTGTGTGGTGTGCGTGTGTAGTGTGTGCGTGTGTAGTGTGTGCGTGTGTAGTGTGTGGTTTGTGTGGTGTGCGTGTGTAGTGTGTGGTTTGTGTGGTGTGCGTGTGTAGTGTGTGGTTTGTGTGGTGTGCGTGTGTAGTGTGTGGTGTGTGGTGTGCGTATGTGGTTTGCGTATGTGGTGTGTGGTGTGCGTGTGTGGTGTGCGTGTGTGGTGTGTGTGTGTGGTGTGCGTATGCGATGTGTGTGTGTGGCCTTCATGTATGTATGTTGAACTTGCACCCTACATAGCCAACCGTGCTCATCAGAGAAGGTGCAGCTCACCAAAAGCATTTGCCCCGACAGTCTGTCAAGGCTTTACGGGGGACCTTTGTATCTTGCGTGTGCGTTGGCCAATTAGCTCTTCGAACGGACGCGTTCCACGCCGGTTCATATTTAGCTCGCCACTGACGTCAGCCCTGGCCTGGAGTCGAACACAGGCCACTGGGTTCAGGGGATGCAGCTGCGGTGGTGTCACGGTCCGTGGCGAAACCGGACTTGCAAACGCGGATGTCGCCGGATTGGGTTCCACCTCCGTGCGTGGCAGCTGGAACTATGGGGCACGTTCACAATCACAATCCCCCCCCACTGCCCATCTCTGTCCTCGCAGCGGAGTGAATGGGATTCACCGCAGTTTAACACGTAGGAGTAGCAGTCGGCTTTCCCGACCAATATTATCTATGATAGAGGTTTTGTTTTTTGGGTTAGGGCACATCAACATAAATGTGTCATACAACACCGCCACCAGCCGAACGGGTAACAGATATCCCTTGTAATTTATATGAACACATTAAACCCGCCCCCTGGTCCCTCGCTCCTGATTGGCTTACAAGTGATGACATCACATTTATCCCCCGTCCATTTAAGACCGAAACAGGAGGAGGATTTCTCCACGTATCTGGTTACTGCCTGATGAGGCTGGTTGTTGTTGTTGTTGTTGTACTTCCCGGCGAAACGTCACGGCCACTCGAATTGTAAATGTCGTGGGTTCACTCTCCAACACACAACCGGTGTGCGTTCTAAACTAGTAAAGAATCGGCACGTTCCGTTTACGTGACACAACCTCACTGATTGGCCGTGTCGGGTGGTGGCGGGTTTAACGGCACATTTATATTGACGCAATCTAACCCAAAATAAACTTCTACGATGGGCTCACCGCAGTCCACGATCGTCAGTTTACGCGTAGCCGCGGTGGTTGGGTAAAGTGTGGGTGCTGCATGATGTCAGGCTAGCGTGGAAAATTAGACCAAGCACCCCATCTAGTACCCCATTTGTGGATGGAGGCCGCCTGTGCCAGCAGTGACAGGGCTGCTGCTGTGCGCGCATTTATCTGCCTCGTCAGAGTGAATGTGAGCGGTGTGCACAAGGGAACGCCTCGCCATGACATTTTGATGGTCGGGGCTGTTTGACCATACTTCACCGCGCTGGTTAGCGGCGGGGGGGGGGGGAGCAGGGCGGTCGGTGATGGCGTGCGCCAGAAACAACGGAGGTTTTTTTCTGGGACGTTGCGCCGAGAGGCTGGCGGACCGCCGGATGATTGTGTCGTGGAGGTCCCAGTTCGGCCAGCGATCTCTCACCGGCGCGCCCCTCGCCTCCCCTCTCCGCAGGCTGCGATGCCGAGTAGTTGCCGAGGCCCGTAACGGAGGCTTGAGCCGGGGGAGGCACAGGGACAGCCCGGGCGCAGGAGGAGCAGGAGGAGCAGGAGATGGAGGAGGAGGAGGATTGGGAGAGGACAGGGATGAGCTCATGGCACAGGTACAGGTGATTGTAATCAGCTCTCTGTGTCTCCACGTAGCGATCAAATCGACGCTCGCTCCGTCGCCCTGCAGGCTTTCCAGGTCAATGCCGTCGAGCGGAAATTTTTTTTTAGCAAGCCAATATCCGGACCGGCTTCGACCTTCGTGGGTCTCATCAGTAGAATCAGGCTCGTTGCACAACCGCTGCACCGGGTTGCCACGTGTGTGTCTGTGGGTGGGTGGCTGGGAGACGAGCAGGGCTTGAACCCAGCACCTCGGCAGGATTTATTTAATTCACGATTAACGGGCACAGGCCTGACGCTGCCTAAACGCCAAGCGGGCGGTAACAACCAGCGCCGGTGGTGGAGGTCTTGGAGGATGGGAGTTGATGTGTTTTGTGAATTTAGCCGGGTTATTGATATTGATATTCTTGTTATTGTTGTAAGAGCTTGGGGGAGAGAGACGGTGGGATGAGGGAATTGTAGAATGGAGCCGTGGGGGGGGACAATGCAGAAGTGGCGAGTGAGTGGCTGAATGGGGGGGGGGGGGGGGGTGAGTGCGCTGTTGTCACCTGCAGTGTGGTGCTGCTGGTGCTGGTGCTGCTGGTGGTTGAACACAGAGTGGTGGATCTGCCAGACACAATCCGTGTCTGGCAGAACCGAGTCCTCAACACGGGCGGAGGAATCGACGAGTGAAGTCCGGGTGTGGTAGCGATGGAAGAGTGATTGTGAAACACAGCTGTGCCGCTCACATGTTCCGCTCACATGTTCCGCTCGCATGTTCCACTCACATGTTCCGCTGACGTACTCCGCTCACATGTTCCGCTCACGTGTTCCACTCGCATGTTCCGCTCACGTGTTCCGCTCATATGTTCCACTCGCATGTTCCCCCCCCCCCCGACCTCCGCAGATGGCCTCTGTGATGGGGTCGATGCAGCAGCTGCGGCTGTCAGTTCGGGAGCTGAATCAGCAGACGCAGCGCGTGTTGTGGCTGCAGAAGCTGCTCGTGCTGCTGCTGCTGCTGTCGCTGCTGCTGCTGCTCTGGCTCGACCGCTCGCCCGGCACGGCGGACTCGGCGACTACGCACGACCTCTGACGGACATCTGGGCTGGTGGGGGAGGGGAGGGGAAGGGGAGGGCGTGAAGCGATGGGACGGCGTGTCGGAGGACGGTGATGGGGGTGCCGCCTGCTCGAGACGGCGGCTGCGGCGTTGGTGGTAGCGGTAGCCGAGAGAGGGGGAGGAGACGGAGCGACGATGGGAAAGTGGCCGTGGTGACGTAGGTCGCTGTAACAGAGAGACTGGGGAGAGATCGATTGTAGTGACGATGATAGCAGCAGCAGCAAAGAGACAAGGAGTCAACAGACAGGCGGACAGACCGATGGTGAAAGTCTGCGTGCGTAAACTCACCGATCGGTTTCCGCGCACCTCCGATTAGCAATGCTACGTTCGTTGCCAAAGAAGTCCAATGTACGTACACACGTACACACGTACGCACGTATGCACGTCCTCACCACGTACCAACTTGACGTCACGCGCGGTGAACGAGCGGAAAGACGCGAGTGTAACGATGAAAACGATTCGCCCCGTTGAGCTCAGATTCGGATGCCTCCTCGTGAAGCCACCGTATCCGTGGCCTGACGGCTCGGCACCGGAAAAATCACCCCGGTGGGAAAAGTTCACCATGAAGGGTGCCGTGTTGGCTCGGCTCGAATGCGGCAGTGGAAAAAGGCTACGTGGGAGGGGCGTGTAGCACCACGGTGGCGAGGAGATGTTAACCCCCTCGCCTGGTATGCAGGAGGTCGTGGGTTCGAGCCCGGCCCCAATGCCTGCTGCTGTATATTTGGAGTTTGTGTGTCTCTCTCTCCCCGTGGTTGCATGGACTTTTCTCCGGGCCCTTCAGTTTTTTCCCTCCACGTTTAGAAACAACATCACGCGTTCAGAGTATTTGGCTGCTGCTATCAGTTTCAACGCGATGATGATCCACCACTTTGAGCTATCGATTGTGATCGCCAGGTCGCTTCTGAAAGAAGAGCTATACAGCTCAGAGTGGGCCTCACCTGGTAAAATAATAAAAATTGTTTAGTTCATAGTTTAGTCGTGTGACCAGGGCTGGTTTGCGCCGGCCTGCGATGCAGAAAACAACTCGCGTTCCCAGCGCACCACATCCACATCACCCCTGACCGTGGCTACTCGGTCGCATTCCTATTCCGGTTTACCAGAGACCCGGACAAATATAATCCCTGATGAATGAAGCCCTGCTCATGAGCTCTGTGGGAGCTTGGGGAATGCGTTCCAGTTGACGTGATGTATGTGCCTGTGTGTTGAAATTCTTTCGCAGCGTACGTAGCCAGCCGTGCTAATCGGAGGTGCGAGGGAAGGACAACAAACTAAACGCAACAAGCCGTTCTAAAGGAATGAGCTTTACATTTAAAAAGTGTCTTGCAGAAAGAGAGAGCAGTCGGAGGCAGCGACAAGTTGAGATTAAACACATTTATTGCCGATGGGCTGTTAGTTGGGGATATTTTTGATGGACATTTCCCATCACAGAGATTTATTTTTACCAAAAGTCTGGGCATACTTGGCCGTGGAGCCAGTGGTGTAAATTCCACAGTTCCTTGGTAGGGCCCAGGACATCTGCATGACAACCACTGGTGACCTGACACAAAGTGGTGCTACCAATTGTATTGATGTCAGAAAGTTGATGATTATGATGATCGATTGACAATGACTGATGGTGATGAATTGTAAGCCAAGCACTTGACTCCTGAGCAGGATTTTAACGTTTGTGTCACCTTCCGACTTGGGAGTCAGATTTTGTCTACTAACGCTCTGGGTACCGAGGGGGATGACATTAAACGGTTTCACAGTAAATCGATTTATTTTCGTTGATTTATTTCAGATTTGAAAGCTCGATTCTATCGAATCGATTGGTCGTTATTTAGCCGGATTAAGAGAACTCGCTGAGATCTGTCGATGCAAGGGAGCCCTCGCCGGTGAAGTGTAAGCCAGGGAGGGTTTGTTCCTCACGTTTTGTTTCCAACAGTTCAGGGACGGAGTTCTGACTAACCACACAGAGGTACCGTGCTCAGGGTGACGACGCTTTTGAGTTCAGGGCCCCGGTAACTCATAATTGGGAGGGCGTCGCAGCGCCCAGCGTGGCGATTGCGTTCCGCTTGATCATTTTGTTTTCAAAGCGGGGGGGGGGGGGGGGTCGACCCCCGCTGTGGCGTCGTCGCGGCCGAGAGTCCGTGATGTTGACATTCTCTTGATTCTGGCTGCCCGAGGCTGCGTGCGTGTATCGGGCCGCCCGGGATGGCTACAAGACAGTGGCTTCTTCTTCTTGGTTCTTTCGGTAAAGTCACGTAGAAGGGAAGTAATAAAATAATAAAAATAAAACATAATAAAATTATTCTCACGACGTTTCGGCCACAACGCAAGCCGAAACGTCGTGAGAATAATTTTATTATGTTTTATTTTTATTATTTTATTACTTCCCTTCTACGTGACTTTACCGAAAGAACCAAGAAGATCAATCCCTGCAGTCACGAAAGCTTTAAATCAAAATAAGACAGCGGCTGTCGAGACACTGATCCTGTACTGTACCTGACACGGCTCGCGAGCGTTGTTAAACGAAAACCGGTCGACTGTTCGGTGACTCTCAAAGTCGGTCACCGGTTCCGAAGGTCAGGCACCGGTCACCGATTCCAGTGGCGTTACACTCGCGACTGCACCAATTTCATTAAAAGAATGTGCCCCATTGTGTCAAGCGTCTGCGCCGGTGAGGTGGAACCTCACCCCGGCCGCCCCTGCGTTGCAGGTTCGCCGTGCAAACCGTGACACCGTTGTGTGGCAGCTCCCTTCCTCGTCTCTCAGTTGACGGGAAGGTATTTTTTTTATATGTAAATAGAATTTCTAATGTGTGCGGCAAACCAGTGATGGGGGTTTTTACCGGGTTGATTCCCCCCGCCCCCACCTCCTACCATACGATCTTAACCCGACTGCTGCTGACCAAGCGGCATCAACATGGGGCAGAGAGCCGAGCACGTTTCTGTGAGGCTCAACCGGGGACTCGTGGTGGTGGTGACGAGCCGGTGGTGACCCCTCCCTCCCACCGTCTCGTTTTGTTGTAGGCCCTCGCTTGGTGTCGTCTTCGCGCGTGGTTTTGGGGGAAATGTGAATGTTCGTGAACCCTTTGGCGGTCGATGTCGCGGAGCAAAAACAATGGGAGAGTGATCGGGTTTTCATTGATCCACTGCTGGATGAAGGTCCTCCCAATGCTCGTGCCGTGTAGGTCGCGAGGGTTGTCGAGCGAGGGATCGGTGAAGGGAGTTGATGGAGGATTTCTGCTGCTGGACCACTTTAGATATCGCAGAGGAGATCGTCTCGAGATGGAGCTCCGTGGTGTCCACTTTCCTGGGCCATCCTCTGAACGCGAAGGGGGGGGGGGGGGTTGCACCGAATGGGATCCTTCGGCTTGTGATGCCGTGACCGCCGATGGTACAATCTGTAAAAAACTAAAAACCTGGGTGGGCGGGCTCAGTCCCGAGGGGCTTGACGTCGTGGCGGGGATGGTTTGGCTCTGACTATTCGTTCCAGCAGTCGATTGATGTTGGCAAATTAAATATTGCCCGTGCTTATACGCGTGCACACACACACCTACGCGCATATCCACTGGGGGTGGTCGAGGTGGTGGATGGGATTGTATATTAAACACGTGGAAAAAGTTCAAGGTTACATTTTTGACAAAAGCGCAACATTTTTTGCACTCCCTTTTGTGTCAAAGAATTGTCGTGAAGCCAAAGAGTGGTTTAATTTGAGGCCGGTTTAAATCCAGTACCGTTTTCTCCGGGTCATAAGGACGCCCCCCCCCACCCCCCTGTAATTTAGAGCTCAAGTTTGGGGTGTATCCTACAATCCTGTCGGTGCGTGTGTGTAGCTGGGGAGCGGTAGTGTAGTGGTTAGCGCGGTGCGCTACGAACCCGGCGACCCGATTATCATTCCCGCTCACGGCCAACACCGGTGATGATTATCTGAACCGGTCGTGGGCTTCCCCTAGATCTACTCGGCCTCAAATGAGTACCTGGTGCGGTGTGTACGCATCGCCACTGGGGAGACAAAGGCGGTCGGACGTGGTGCTGGCCACCTACACCCGCGTGTACCGTTCCGTCCTAAATAGGTGCTCGCTAACAGCACTTGCCCCAACAGTCTGTGAAGGCTACACGGGGATCTTTGTGCGCGACATTAGATTGGTGTAACTTGATCGGCAGTGGGCACGAGCTGAGGGACGCATCTTATTTTTACTTCCCAGAGCGTCTTAATAATGCTGGAGAATCCGATCGTTGGATAAATTTACAGAAATGTGAACTTCATGTACCATTGTTGTCTCCTTTTTAATAAATGTTGGGACTTTGCAGATTCATACTCGGACTTGTGCTTGTGCGTGCGTGTATCAACGTGAAGTGTGAAGTGTCACACTTCACGTGGCCTCAAGGTGCACATGGCCTGGCACAAGCGTCGTGGTGACGTCACCGCCACTTAGTGGCGAATGGCGGTTGTTGTTGCATCAACGTAGACACAGATGACTCGATCGATGACACACAATTTCAGCCACCTGCATCACATCCCTGGCACCACGTGATTGGCAAGATGTCTTGGTGAGTGCTACCCCCATTTCAAGACCACGCCGATTGCAACAACGACGATGATCGGAGCATCTCACGAAAATGATGAAACCATTTTTATATTTTACCAGATAAGGCCCCAACTGAGATGTTTAGCTCTTTGTCAGAAGCGACCTGGTCATCGCAAGTGATAGCTCAACGAAAAGGATTATCATCATCGCGTGAAAATGTGTAGCAGCCAAATACTCTAAACGCGTGTTTCTTAATGGGAAGGGGCAAACCCGGAGTCCCCGGAGAAAAATCCACGCGTCAACGGGAAGAACACGCAAACTTCAAATATACAGGCGGCATGCAGGGTTTGGATCGAACCCACGACCTCCTGCACACCAGGCGAGGCAGTTAATATATCTCGCCACGGTGGTGAGATGAGCGAGAACTAATTGCCAGGAGAGGTCCTGGAGAGGTCCTGGCAAGGATTAGTTCTCGCTCATCTCACCACCGTGGCGAGATATATTAACTGCCTCGCCTGGTGTGCAGGAGGTCGTGGGTTCGATCCAAACCCTGAATGCCGCCTGTATATTTGGAGTTACCAGACACGCGCTGAGGATGAGAGGCTTGCGGAGCCCCAATGGCTGTTGGTGTCACACCTGGTCGGCCACGTTGGGTCCGCCTGCTGCAGCAGCGGTGTCGGGAATTCCTTCCAGGTTTTCGCAAGAGGGAGGGTTTGGTGATTGCCGTGTATATTCCATTCTAGATTTGAAGCTTTCGTGACTGCAAGGATTCACACTCTTAGGTTTTTTCGGTAAAGTCACGTAGGTAAAAATGAAAATAAATAATAATAATAATAATATAAATAAAATAATAAATCACGACGTTTCGGAGGCAACACAAGTCTCCGTCATCAGGTGGGACCGCCAATACCCTGGAGTCTATAAACTGAGTTGCATCTGTGGTGATTGTTACATTGGGGAAACGAAACGTCATGTCTCCGATCGTGTCCGCGAGCACAAGTCAGATCTGAAACACGGCAAAATTGAGTCTTCCGCCGTTGCCGATCATTGCTACAACGCTGTGGGCTCTCATGACATTGTCTTTTCCGAGACCAAGGTGCTCTGCAAACCTTCTGGCTACCATCAAAGGTTTGTACACGAAGCCATCGAGATATACAAACACAGACATCACTTCAACCGTGATGAATGGGTACACACTTAGTAATCATTGGAAAGATGTTATTAACCATGCAAAAAATATTTAACTACACATATTTGTACCATCTTATCTGACAGGTACTATTCTACTTTACCGAGTGTTGACATCCCCAGCGTTTAACAGTACTGCTTTCTTTTATTTGGATTATCAGCTAACACCGGCCACAACCCCGAGTCGATGTACACCCATTGTTCCCTTTTAGCTTCCCCCCCCCCCACCGTTCCATTCCCTGGCTACCACATTCAGATAAGCCCCCCCCTCCCCCTTAACTTGTATTTAAGGGCTTGTCTCTTGGATTTTGCCTCACTTGATACAGTAATTTTAGCTGTGACGGTCCCACCTGATGACGGAGACTTGTGTTGCCTCCGAAACGTCGTGATTTATTATTTTATTTATATTATTATTTATATTATTTATTTTTATTTTTACCTACGTGACTTTACCGTAAAAAAACCCAAGAGTGTGTATATTCCAATCAAGTAAATTTCCGATTTCATTTTCAAACGTCAAGTGATATTCGGGAAAAGAACAATTGGGGCTTAAAGTGTAAATAAAAATATATTTTTTTGCATAATTATAATTATTAAACCAATTAAATGGAAACGTCTTAACCGATGTGGAATTTCAAATGGAATAAATATTTTTGAAAAAAAATTCACACTCTGGGCTCGTCCGGGATTTGAACCCGGGACCTCTCGCACCCGAAGCGAGAATCATACCCCTAGACCAACGAGCCGCGGATACCACCACCTCGCCGGGTCTCCCTCTTAACGCCACCATCTCGCCCGCAGGTCCCTTCCTCAGTATTGGCCGTCGAGTTTAAAACGTGTTGATGACAAACAAATAAACAATAGATTTACGTTTCATCGTTTTATTTGTGTAGAATTGTAAAAACAGACGGCTGTGTTTGTGTGTTTAATAATAAATATATAACTCGGGCGCACTCCGCGGTGACGTCACGCCGCCACAACCCGGAAGTGACAACGTGGCAGACGAGCGGTGAGTGACCCTCGCTCTCACCCTCACCTCACCTCACCCTCACCTCATCCTCACGTCCACCTCATCCTCGCTCTCCCCTCACCCTCACCTCCACCTCACGTCCACCTCATCCTCGCTCTCACCCTCACCTCCACCTCACCCTCACCTCTCCTCGCTCTCACCCTCACCTCCACCTCAACCCTCACCTCATCCTCACCTCACCCTCACCTCATCCTCACCCACGCTCTCCCCTCACCCTCACCTCCACCTCACCTCCACCTCATCGTCGCTCTCCTCTCCCTCGCTCTCACCCTCACCTCCACCTCATCCTCGCTCCTCACCCTCACCTCATCCTCACCCTCACCTCGCCCTCACCTCACCCACGCACCCTCGCTCTCTCCCCTCACCCTCACTCCCCCCTCGCTCCCCCCTCAATTCTCGACGAGTCCCAACTGCGGCCTGCGCTCGAGGCGCCGCTGAGACTCGAGGCGTCGTGAACGCGCCCCCCGCGTTGTGCGTGGTGGTGGTGGAGGTGGTGGTGGTGGAGGTGGTGGTGGTGGTGGAGGTGGTGGTGGTGGTGGTG